CCCCCCGGGGTAATTTTTTGTTGTGGACGGTTACCCCCCCCCCCCCCCCGGTGACCCTGGTCCGGTGAGAACCCGGCGTGCTCCATCCCGGCTTTGTCGGGATGCGAGGTCAATGGTCCAACGACTACGGCACGCACGACTCCCCTGTGGGCTCGAAATCAACCCACAGCCTCCCTTTTTATGTGGCCGATTTTTTTAGAGAGAGGGAATGCCCCCCCCACCTACCCAGCAACCGCTACCTTCGGATCCGCGTCTCCCGTAACGCGTCTTTCTAGAAAATATTTGCGTACGTACAAACATAGACAGACCACCGTTGGAGATACTACCACACTCGAAGGGGATGCATGTGTTGGGAGTCTATGCAGCAGTGAGTGGAAGGAAAGCCCGAAGGATGCGTGGCTTATTTTTGAGTGTGTTGATAAGCCGATATACTGAACCATACAAGTGATGCCTGCCAGCTGGTGCTACGGACAAAAAAGCATAAACAACGTATTGCTGGACAATTGGCTTATTTTGAGTCTGTTTAAGCGTGTATACCCTGAATCGTACCAGTGACTCTAGCCAAAAAAAAAAAAAAGCTTTCTTCGTCGTTCAGGTGTTGCCGGAGTTCGTGCTGAGCGGGAAGGGCATGAAGCGTCCCCCCCCCGACTTGTTCGGCTCGCTGGACTCCAAGACGAGGTCGGCGGTCACGAGGTGCTACAATTCCCAGGCGCATAAGTCCCAGGCTCTGGCGGTGGCCCTGCAGGCGCCCAAGAAGGCCAAGAAGAGAAAAGCTCCCCCCAAGTCTGTTTCCATGGAGGTATGCGCTACTCTGTTTTGCAGTAGTGTTTGCGGGTTTTGGTGGTTGTTGTTGTTGTTGTTGTTGTTGTTGTTGTTAGAGTCGCTGTTTGTTGCGGGGGAGCGTGTCACTGACGGGTTTTTCGTTTCGAGTATGTTCGTTGCGTGTAATCTGTCAGCCGCGCTCGTTTTCTTTTTTCTTTTTTTCTGTTGCGTCGATTTTTTGTTGTTGCGGGAAATGTGTGAGCTATGGTCTTTGCTCTGATGAGGTATTTATGACTCCTTCATGCACGTCGGTTCGTGCTACGCCAGCCGTGTAGGGCGGGTGGAACTGGCGTTCCGGCCGCTTTGCCCCCCCCCCCCGCTCCTCCTTTCAATGTTAAATGTTACACACACTCTTGAATGCCCAGTGTTTCTTTTGAAGGTGTGGCTTGCCGGCACCCTGACACTGAATGATCGATAAGTGGCAACCACGACGACACCAACAAACGAATACATATGCGTGTGTGCTGTACTGTACTGTACTGAAGGGAGAGGACGGAAACGAAAAAGGGGGTGACGAGAGCGAGGAGGAAGAGGAGGACAACGACGTGTCGGCCTTCAAGAAAAAGGGGCTGCACATTGATGTTGTTGTCGATGTGGTGTTGTTTTTGCGGTCGATGGCGTTCATGCTGTCGGCGTTGTCGTTGCCGTGGTTGAAATATAGAAATGCCGTGTAAATGTCGGTATTTTTGGCGAAACGGGTCGGTTCGCGGAATGAAATATGGAAATGCAGTGTTGATATCGGAAAAATATGCGGAAAGTGACGCAAAAAAACAGCCTCTCAACCCGGAGAGGTGCTCCCCATTCCGTCACACATGACTTTTGTTTGTGTCGGCATTGTAGGGATGCGAGGCCTATGGCCTGCCGACTACGGCATGCGTTTACCTGATTACGCCCCCCGCCGCTCGCCGCACCCGCTTGTCGTGGCCGCAGGGGAAGTCCCGCTCCTCTCCCGCGGCCTCAAAAAAGGGCAAGGCCACGGCTACCCCCCGATCCAAAAAGACGAAGAAGTAAGGGAGGTGGAGTGAATACGACAGGCGGAGATATGACTGTCGGAGATACGACAAACGGAGACAAGACAGACGTGGAGATAAAACGGGCGGACTCAACTAACCCCGGTGTGGCCGGGCTGCGCATGCGTCCACATGCTCTCTGTCGCTGGTATAGTACGCGTGGCTGCAGCGATGAAAGCGAGAGCTAGCAGGGGTGCGAGCAACTTTGGTGTGCGTTGGCGACGGCAGTTGCCTCGGGGGGGACATGTGAAAAGCATCGCTTTTGTCGAGAGTCGGTGTTACATTTTTGCCTCCGAACCAATGAGCAGCGCGGGCAGGGATGGGGGTACTGGCTGAATTTGTGCTGTGATTCGGCGTGCTGCGGGAGGAACGGTGTTGTCCGGGTGTAGGGCATTGAATTCGGTACCGCGGGTCCCCTATTCCGGAAGGTGCCATCGAGTTGGAAAATGGAAAGAGAACCAGAGAACATCAAGGTACTGAGCATCGGAGACCCGCCTGGTTATTGATTCGAAGTCACCAGCAACAGCAGTAACAACAATAACAACGACAAAAACCTCTTGTGAGTGGTCGAAGAGACGAAGAGGCGGTTGGCGGTTTGCCCAATTTTGGTAGCGTGCGGTTGGCCCGCTCGGATCGAAGAGGGCACGGGGTACCAAACAGGACGAGCGAGGCGTGTGAGAGTGAAACCGCACAACTTTTGCCATGTTTGAGTGTTTGTGCGTTGGGAATGAAACGAGGGGCAGGCAGCGCTTGTGTGTTGCGGCACAGCAGCGGTAGCGTCATGATGAACGGAAGCGGTGTTCTGGGTTTCGCTTTCCCCCTTATAGAGAAAAGTTAAACAGCGGGGGGGCGGTTGTTGCTGTTATGTTTCTGGTGTGGAGCACTTCCCGTAAAAATTCTGGCCGAGTCATGGCCGTGCCCGTAGTCGGAGATGCATCTGGTCAATCGGCGATATTCCCCGGGGGTGGCGTGAATCATTTTTCTGACGAGTACCCCCCCCCCCCCCCCCCCGTGGGCTAGCTGTCTGCTTTGACCCGGGGCGTGCTTGATCTAGCTGTGGCGTTGTGGGGGTTTATGCAAGGTGAACAGGAGGTATGCGGTACGGAAGCTTGAAAGTAATTAACAGTTCAAGGGCGGCCTGGGGGTGTCGAGGGACGAGCCAGGAGGGGGGAGGGGGGTGTCGATTGTATTATCGTTGTCGGCGTACTTGATGAGAGAGGCGATTATCGTTGTCGGCGTACTTGATGAGAGAGGCGTGTGTCCAGAGAGAGGAGTGTGAATCGCTATCATTGTCATTAATTTTGTTCTGCGTCGTGTAGCGGCCTGTGAAAAATCGACGGGTGAGCGGTGTAGGTTGCCGACCTCACCAGCTTCAGTCTGCAGTAGTCGAGGGGGAGAGGCGTTGCCAACCGACCTACCTCGTGGCGCGTTGTCTCTGACTCCGGCGTCTCCGGGGCGTGTGTCCAGCTGTTGGGTGTAAATTATTTTTTGTTGTCTTTTTAAAAATCTTAATCTTCCGTCAAAGGGGACGGGCACGCCAACCGACCTACCTCTTTCCTTTGTCACTGACTCGCGTGTCTCCGGGAGTAGAAGGGGGGTAAGGTCCGGGCGTACTCATGTTTTGCATGCCTTAGCGGTTAGACCATTGACCACGTTGTCCTCAAGAGGACGGAGCGGGGTAGGGGAGATAAAAAGAAGGGCTTGCGCGGAGGAAACACTTAACATAATAAGAGGTCGTCGCATATACTCTGGAGCAGCAAGCAAGTTGTATCGCATGGATCTCCCAGCCTATAGAATCAACACCAGGCCGGATACACGAGAACCGGATCATACTCTGCGGAGAGGCATTGGTTCGGGCGCGGGAATCGCGACCGGTTTGGGCACGCAGCATTGTCCAGAAAGATATCCCCGGTCTTATGATAGCTGAAAAAGATACCTTCACGAGAACCCAGAGAAAGGGGGCGCGCGAGTTCATGCGGTTGGCGTACCGCTGCCAAAAAATCACGTATGTATAGTGTTGGTTCTTGGTCACAATCTTCATGTTTCTGTGCAGGCCTATTTCACCGTGCACACCCACCACTCTTTCGGGACAACGGTGTCATGCCGTCCAAAAGTCGAAGACACTTTTCTCATGTTTCTTTGGTGCCGACGTACGCGCAGAGGATCACACATCACGCACTGCCCCCTGCGGGAAAAGTTCACAACACCGGTTTGGTGTGTTGTTGGTGTAATCGGTTCTTGGAGTAAATTCGAGTGGCATCGTGACTCGCGTCGCCGGCAGGCACGTACTTCGCAGGGATTTCGGCGTGGTCCAGTGTGCGGTCAAACTGCGGAAAACAACGGTCCGCCTTTTTTTCTTACTCCAAGCGCTGCTTTTGTTCTGCTGCTCGTGCTACCGCGGACTCCCCCTCCTCCTCCAGCAGCAGTCGCCGCCGCCGCCGTCGACACTGCCTAGCACCCCCGACAGGACCCGAAGGCACTACGCCCCCCCCGCTGCTGCTACTTCTTCGACCCTCTCTCGCCGCCGCCGCCGTGCCACGGTCCAGCGCCGTCGCCGCCTCCCCCGAGGCCAGGGTGGCCACCCTCCGGGCGTTGTCCTCGTCGGTCCCAGCGACCCGCGCGGCGGCGGCGGGGGCCCCCCGGCTGGATCCAAGCGCCAGGGCCTCCGTGAGGCCGGAGCCGAGCGCCGCCCGCAGCATGTCCCGTCGGTAGGCCTCGAGCTGGCTTTCGGGTAGCTGTTGTTGACCGCGGTCATCGTCGTCGTCGTGTTTTCGATGCCGTCGAGGACGCTTCTTGCTGGTGTTGGTGGCGTCGTCATCGGTTCGTTGCGCCGCCAATGCCGGGGTCAGGTCTTTCGGCAGCCGCGCCTTGACCTGTACAGCACAAGGAGCGGGAGAGCGGGCGAAACACGCGCGCAGGTGTGTTTTTTTGGGTGTGCTGGGCCGGACACATGTTCAAACCGGGCCTTCCTTCCAGTCCCTCGCCCGCAACGCCCCCCACCCCCCGACCCCCCGCTTCCGCTGTAAAGCAAGCACAGATAGGAGGGCGCTAGGAAGCAACACGTGGCATCGAAACCAAGACGAGCACACACATCATCTGGTTCGTCGGGCGGTTGGCGTGGTCGACGCAAATTCAAGAAACACGCACACACAGCCACTTCCACACACACGCGTGCACGCGTTTTCTGTTGCGCTTGATGACTGGCGTCTTATCATTGGTCAGCCGGTCAAAGACCGGTTGATGCTACCTCACGCACACACAAGAGACACGAATCTTTCTGCCCCAAACGCACGTGAAGTTTTGCTCAAAAGAGCTGCACCAGAACCGAAAAGACACACAGCAGCAGCCGACCGTGCACCAAGCTCACCTAAAACTGGTGCTACCGCAGGGGGGTGGTGCACTTTTGGGGTGAAGTCTTGAACTCTTGGGATCAAAACGTTTAGCCCTGCTTCGGCGATCTCACGACGAAATAGGACGCGGCCAACGGGACCAAGTAGGGGGTGTCTACCCCAACAGTGCAAGATGAGGGTGACCCCCCCCCCCTACCGTACCATAACTCCTCACCCACCTTCTCCAGCACGTCGGCGACGCTGCGACCCTGCGGCAAGACCACGAGCATGGCGTCGATGCCGCCGCTGTAGCTGTCGCCGGGTACGTCCCTGCCCCTGATGACCGTCGCCTCGTCGCCCGGGTCCCACCACGAGCAATAAGATCCGAGCGCCTCCCCCGAGCGCTTGATCGCCAGGTCTCTGCCGGCCTTTGTCTTGAATCTGTTGGGGGTGGTGTTGACAAGCGGCGTGAGAAAAAGGGGGGGCGTGAGTACTGCTGCTTGCTTTGACCTTTGGAAAATAGATCAATCACGGTACATAGTTCAGAGGGGGGGGGGGGGGGGGGCAGCCTTTCGGCTCGCGCACAAGCAGGCTCTGCGTTGTTGCTGTTGTGAGTGTGGTATTGTAGTGGTGCCTACGACCAACAGTCTCCAGTTTGACGGATTCTTTCGGCCGCAACATGTAAACATGTTGCGGCACCCACTCAAATTTCGATCCATTTCGCACTCTGGTACCTTGCAGAGCGTGAGCGCCACACCATGAAACCAAACACGCCCTCAATATAAAAGTGCCGGACCGGCCTAATGAGGGCTATTCGAAACCTGAATAGTGCCGTATCGGCAGTATTCGCATTAGTGCCGATGGCCCGATTTAGTGCCGATGAACGGTCTTGGCACATACCGGCACTAAAGGGGCCCAGTGCTGTACTCCACACGGTTACCGATTTCCGTACAACAGTGCTTGCTGTGCTTGTGACCTTCCTCCGGGGAAAACCAGGTTGACGCGTCAAACACGCAGTAGGATAGTACGAACACACATACGCCATTGCCTTTTACAAACGCTTCTTGTTTTCAGCCGCAGTGAGACTGACTTTATTTTATTGGTAAGCAGGTTGGCGAGGTCGATGCAAAAATAAAGCACACACACCACACCACACCGCAGCAGCAGCAGCAGCAGCAGCAGCAGCACTCACCTGACGCAGAAACGCCTTCGATCGGGATCCAGGGTGCCATCGGGCAGCACGTGATACCTAAGCATCACCTGCATCGGGCAAAAGCAAAAAAAAGTTTTACGAGGACAATGTTAACGTTGTGTTATTCGTCGGCCGCTGGCAGTGGGAGACTCTTTATTGCTGTTGTTAGATCGAATTATTGAGCCGGCCGGTGACCGTGGAAAAAGGCAAGATTTCTGTATTGATATCGAGGGCATAGCACAGAAGGTTCTGGAGTTACTGCACTAGGAACGGAGGCCAGAACAGCCTCGACACCAAAAAAAGAACAAAACCTAAACAACAGAACCCAACAAGACCAACAGCAGCGTGAACGAGAGCAATGACTGAGAACACACGATTGACACTGGTAGTGGCGACAGCCAACGACCCAAGCAACCTCTTTCAGAGCCGACCCGCTATGCAGACGCTCAAATAATCCCTCTCCCTCTCTCTCTCTCGCCTTCTGGTGCCGTGTCAAGCGAACCGTGCGGTGCACCTGTTTCACTCACTCTTCACTCTTCGGGCAAAAAAAACAAACAAACAAACTCACGTGGTGAAAATCTATCCCCCGGAAGAATTGCCGAAGGTCCGACACGTGCCCGGCGTAGCCGTCGTCGTTGTAGCAGCCGCACACCCACGCCGTCAGAGGGTCCCTTCTCCGCGGTCGCCGCCGCCGCCGCTGCCGCCGCCGCTCCCCACCGCTACCTACCGCCGCCTTGACCTCCTCCTCGTGCCTTGCCGTCCCCCTCCCCCCCACGCTTTGGTGTTGGAACTCCTCCTGAGGGGGCGGTCGGCGGCGGCGGCGCTTGTCCGACGGGGACCGGGATGGCCTCAGCGGCGGCTAGCATCTCCTCCTGGTCTTCCATCCTGACCATCTTTTTCTTGGCTTGCTTCTCTCGGCGGTCGATCTCATCGTTCCTGGCCTTTATCTCCGCCCGCTTCGCCTCGGTCAGGACCTGGATGTAGTAGTAGTAGCCGCGAACGGTTTCGAGGGGTCACACGAGGTCTTCGGGTGTTTTAGGTGGTGGTGGTGGTGTTGGTGTTATTGTTGTGGGTGTTGTTGGTGTTGTTTTTGTTTGTGGCGGTGGTGATGCTCATCGTCATGGTCATGCTGGTGTTGGTTGTTCGTTGATGGTGATGGTGGTTTGCGTTGTTCATGGTGGTAGCGGTGGTCGTGGTGGCTGTTGTTGTTGTTGTTGTTGTTGTTGTTGATGATGATGTTGATGGTGGTGTTGGTGCTGCTAGTTTTCTTGTAGTTGTTTTTGTCCTACCCTAAATAGCTTTCAGCAAAAGGAGCAAACGAAACTCTAGGTGTACAAGGTGTCTGGCGGCGTTCGCCGCCTCGCTCGATAAATCGATTCCAAGAATAATCATCAAAGTGCTGCTGCCTGTACTCGACAATCGTGGAAGGCACAGCAATCACATTGAAAAATAGAAACCAAGACATGGAGATGAAAAAAAAGTGGGCTCCTTGCGGAAAGAGAGAGGGTCGTACCCGATTTGTGTCATCCGACGAAAAAATAAAGTACAAGCTGCGAACGAAGCGTGGTCTCATGCACCAGCAGCATCATTATTGATGGCAAACAACCGCCAACGGGTCGACAAAGAAAATCCACTTACGGAAAAGACTACAACACATCCCTTCCGACTGAGGCTACATCTCGAACGGGTAGTCTTTCTGTGAGGTTATGTTCACTTTCTAAACGAAAATCGGGCGCAGGGGAGAAACGTAATGATGCATTGCTCCTCGAAGACATGTACGTGAAGCGGGGTGGTCGCGGTGAGACGGAGAGAGAGAGAGAGAGAGAGAGCAGGAGGAGGCCCGGACACGACATAGGGCGGAAGGTCGAGTGGGTGAGACAGACGGGAGTCCGAAAAATAAGAAACTCCCGGATAAAATATGGGCTGAACGGAGTCGGAATAATGATGAAACTCCCGCATAATTTGTGTGGGGCTAAACGATGAGAAAATGTTCCACGTGTGAGAGTCGAGAGAGAGACTGACCGGCTGCGTTGTGGGTAGATGTGAGAGCCGAGAGATAGACGGTAATGTAAAGATCGACTCCCAGGATAATAATAAGTGGCAACTGCTGTCAGCTCAACATTCATTCGTGGTAGGCAAGCAATATATTGAAAACGACAATAGTAATACCGGCTCGAAAATGCTCCGAGAACCTTTGTGTGCAAAACCCGGGGAATTTTCGTGTGCAAAAACCCGGGAAATAAAGCGAGAGCCCGACGTGTTAGATAGCCCGCAAAATGATGTTGGGCATGCGAGACGTATGAGAGGCGACGGCATGTGCTGGCCGACAGACAGCCTACTGGCGTGTGAGAGACGAGTGAGAGAGACCGGCATAAAGTGTCATGTGTGGTGGATAGGGAGCAAAGGAAACGGGGGGAAAGGTTCCTCGAGGGAGCGAGCCAGACACAGACGCGAGACGGAGACAAACGAAGCTCTGGAAATATTCCGGAGAAATGAAATTTTGATATGCATGTTCGACGAGATCTGAGAGAGACGAATTCTGTGCATTTTGAAAGACGCATGCCGGAGTCCGACGTGTCAGAGCAGACTACTAGTGTGTGAGCTGAAAGAGAGAGAGAGAGAGAGAGAGAGAGAGAGAGAGACTGGCCTCAAGCCCTGTGAGAGGCACAATTAAATGTGATGTGAGGTGAATGGGGAGCAGAGGAAAGCGCCAAAAGGTTCCTCGAGCGGGCGAGCCACAGACGCAAAAAGCGGGAAAACGGGAATAACCAAAGCGGATAAGAAAGGGAAAACGGGAAATTGCTGAAGTTGGACATGTGAGAGGGGGAGAGAGACTGTTGTGCAAGAGCCGACGACAGACTGGCGTGTGAGAGGGGAGAGAGAGAAAAAATCGTGATGTGTGTGAAAGGGAGAAAGGTTCCGTGCGACCGAGCCGGATGTGATGACTAGCCAGGCGTAATGAGAAGACACTAGAAGCGGAATGGACGGAAAACAACAGCAAGCTGCAAAGATCCGGAACAGATGGAAATGAGACAATAGAGCCCTTGTGAGAGCCAGAGAGAGACCCGAAATGAAGCGCTCTCATCGCCCGAGATAATTTTCCAGCGGGCCCCCAGTGAAAGGGAGGGGTGAAAGGTTCCCGCTTGAACCCGTAGTTAGCACGTGCACATCTGGTAAATGGACGCCTGGCGTCGCGCAGAGGCTGACTCACAGACTGAGAGGTGTGTCGATTTATCGTAACTGAAAATAAGACGGACCGCTGGAAATATGTCAATATGAGGGTTGAAAATTGAAGGTATACATGCAGTTGAACGTACATACATGTGGAGAGCCCGACGTGTGAAAGAAAGAGAAATCTGAGCAGAGGAAAGCACGGAAACGTTCCTCGAGCGAGCGAGCCAGAGGTGGAGCGAGCCAGAGGTGGAGCGACCCTCAGGTGAAAAAGCTGTTAAATAAACGGAAAAGGGGGAGCGGTAAAACGGGAAAAGGCGGGAATACAAAAATGGAGGCCTGTCAGACGCCGAGATAGCACCGAAATGGAGCGATCTTAGCGCCCGAGAGAAATTTCTCCTTAACACCGGCGGAAGCTTGAAAATGAAATAGTGAAACGTGATACGTGCAACGTGGCGACAGGCCGGCCACTTTCACTTCCAAACGTGATTGTGATGTGATGGCACGGGAAATCCGGTGAGACTGGTTACCATGAAGGGAATAAGTCCATGAAACCCAAGTATCAGGTGTGAACATTCAACGCCGCCTCTTCGGTAGAAGATCTCAGCCTTGGACGTGAAGCTGCTGGCCTGTCGCTACTAGGTGTCAGGCCAGAAGCTTAGTGTCCTCGCTCCCCGCTTCAACCATACAGGCGGTGTTGAACCATGATATTCACTTCTGATACTCGGGTTTTATGGACTTTGCCTTCGTCGCGATCACTCTCACGGCATAACCGTACCATCACTACGTTGCAGTCGCGTTTGGAGAGCCGATCGATGGTCGTGACATGGGCACAAGAAATCTACGAAGTAGTGGCTTACCCCAATGCGCTCCTTGTCAGCAGTTATTCGCTTGCATTCCCGCGAAGATCGACCTTTCGGTATTCGACCCTTGCTGGTGCTCAGAGCAGATGTGGGAGGAAGTACCGACTAAAAACAACCACAAATTTTAATCAAGCCGTATGGAGGCCACCGACCCCCCACTTTTGTTCGAGGTTCTTCCGCTAGACATAGGAGCGGTTTTCTGACTCGAAAGAGACGAATATTCAACCATCAAAAATGCCTCGACCAAGCAAACAAGCAAGCAAGCCTTGCCGACCCGTACATTATCCTAGCTCACCTGCTGGACGATCAGTTTCCGGTGCAGCGAGGCAAAAACAGTCATCCCGGGATTGCCGGACTTGCCACCCGCCTCCACCATCTCTCCCGCTCCCGCCTGACGCCCTCCCTCGCCTCTGTGGCCACAATGGCGGCTGCCGTTGCCGGGCTGCTGCTGCGTCCTAGCCAAGACGTGCACTTCGGACCCGATGGCCATTTGATGCGCGTCCAGCTTGTGTGACACCCCCCCCACAAGGAGAACGGGACCTCCTAAAAAGTTGGCGAACGGAAAATGGCGGGGGGGGGGCATGAGGAAGTCAAGCTTGAGGGTGTACTCATAGTCGTGCATGCCGTAGTCAGTAGACCTCGCATCCCTACACAGTAGTGCTGCCGCGGACGGAGCGATTTATGGCGGGGGTTCGGACGCATGTATCTATTTCCTTTCCTTGCCATTCCTTGCTACTTAACACTACTTGTTTTCCGTCTGGTTGGGAACCATGGGTCCTTCGCGAGTGTTAGGGCCTGGGTTACAACGTGGAGACAGCATCACCACCGCCACCACCACCACCACCAGCAACAACAGCAACAACAGTAACAACAAGAACAACAAGAACAAGAACAAGAACAAGAATGGGAATGAGAACGAGAACAAGATAAACACGTGCAGCTATTGATACCGTATTAGAGTCGAGCGATTGCACACCCCTTCCTGCTGTGGTAGAACCGACTCTCACAGCTCGATTTGCTCTACCCAATCCAAGAGGCTGGCGGCTATGAAGCCGAAAAGGGGGGTGTGAAGTAGGGTATGTCGCCTACATGCAGAGCTGCTGTCCTTGCACATCGGTCGGTTTTGTTTTCGCATGCCCCCTATCGCCAGGCTGGAGAGATCCATCGAACGTTGAAATTCAGTCTACAAAGAGTTTCGCGATCACTGTACCACAAAAACCGCTCTGAAAATAAGGGGGGGGGGGGGGGGGGGGAGGGGCAAAAAGGAAAATAGATTTTAACTGAAAGGAGGGAAGGCCCCCCCCGGGGCGCTTACCGGGAGGCCCACCCCTTGCCGGGGGACAGGCCATAAACCCCATCCCCCCTAAAGGTTTAACACGAAAAAGAACAACCCCCCACTTTCCCCCCCCCCCCTTTTTTTAACCAAAAAAAAAAGGAATTCCAAAATCCCCCCAAAAAAAAGCCGGGCGAAATTTAACAACCCCGGGCAAAAGGAAAA